ACAGGAGATCGCATTACTGCTGCTTACTGTTCCTACAGGAGGTGCCAATCAAACCACAAAAGTGTACCTTGCTAAATGTCAGCTAACTCTGAATATTCATGCTCTGGCCATTCTCATCATCTGGCTGTAGAGCTTGGCTAGACATTTTGTGGATCTTCTCTTGACACTGTTCGCTAGAGGTTCTTGTGAGGTTGGATTGCTGTACTTGCAAGTGTTCTGTTTATAAATTCTCATTTTTTGGTTTTTGCTTTTCGCATTGGTGTTTCTAGTGCCACATACCTTGCATATAATATTAAAGGCTGGGCAATTTCTAAGTGCATGTATGAGACCAAACCAACCACATTACTTACTAGGCTTGCAATGTATTTGCAATTGAGCCAATGAAGCTTGAAAAATGCATGACCTGTTACTTGAAGCCACTTTGAAGTAATGCTTTCAGGTCTAACCTTTGGGCTGATCCAAGCTGTCTTTTTGGAATGTTTACATTGGGAAAGTGGCTGTCATGAGTATTCTGTCAGCCAGCTCTGGCAGCATGAGTTTAGTGATGTTCTTTGTTACAACATCTTTTTATGACTTGGTCAGAGGATTCCATTGGCCTGAAAGAAATGATTTCCAAATGGTGAATTGTGATGTTGAACTTCACTCGTAATTGATCTTTGAGTGTTTTGACCTTATTTTATATGGATTTTTGTGAAGATGAGTGTAGGGCGTCATTAACAAGGGCACGAGGGATGGGGAGCTCTCAGTTGGCATGCTCTTTAAGCGGTTATTAATAAATAAAATAATATTCATTTGAAATGTTTGAGCATCTGCGCTAGAATCTATTTTATGGGTTGTGCTCAATAGGAATTATTAAAGACTATGAAAAGTATTTTGTTAAGTTACTTGCCATTGTTTTTAAAGAAATGTTACAATGAATTCTGTACATGGATGTGCTTCTTCAAAAATATTATAAATATGAGTAATGTCCCTCTGTAGAAAGAACTGATTGGATTATATCAAATACTTAAACTAAGAAGCAATGCAATACCTATATGCATTACAATGCACATAGCAAGTCAGAAGATTTCATGAATTATTGAGCAAAATTCAGAACCTACATCTGGGTTGTTTCTATTTGGACAAGGAAATTGAGGCTCTCTAACACCCTCCATTTTTAAAATCAATTTCTGCACAAGCCATTGGCCTTGATCTTAATCACTGGAAGCCAACAAAAAACATTAAGACTTTTTTTAATAATCAAGTTTCTGCTGCAATGGTGATGAGTGAATGTAGAAATAACAGCTAAATCCATTTGGAAGTGTTGACTTCTGCCTTTGTATATTTATGAGATGAAGCTTTGCAGCTTAAAATGTGAAAATGTGCTTATTCTCAGCGTACAAGACAGAGCAATCTCTCTTCAAGGCACCACGCTTAAATTGGATTTTGTTTTAAATGATGTTGCAATTTTTTTCGACAGGTTTTGATACTGAAGTTTAATAATATTGAGTGCTAGAACATAACAGACACTTTCCAGAATCTCCTAAGATCCAGACAATTTCCTCTATACTTGGCTACTGACATAAACAAACATTCCATGAGAAATATGCAGAATTAAAAACTGAATAGCCTTCCACATACAAAAAGCCCCAGGCCAGGAAAATAAACACAAGACAATTATGTAAATTATGTAACTATTCCTATACACATTTTTTTTTGCCAATGCATGATTCTGTTCGTAATAAAAATCTTTATTTGCAAATTCTAATCTGTGGAACAATTAGGAACAAGATTGGCAATGAGGAACAGTTGAAAATTGAGACAACCTTTTAAAAGGAAAGGTAAAGAAAAAAATCACAATCATTTCTGTAATATGAGCTTTTCAAATTCTTTCTGAATGAACAATAGGTCAGTTTCCCAGTGGCCCAGGTGTAAGTATATTGCCTGACATAGTAAAAATAGTGCAGACTAAGAAGATTGATTTGATTCACAATTTGTGCAAAATCAGCTAGCTGCAACTTAGTTGGTGAGTAGCTGCTGCTCTTAGCTTTTGTGTTACTGAGCTAAAGAAGAAGAAATACTCAGCCAGAATTCTCCCTGTCATGGTCATTTTATAAAATTATTACCAAGAAATTATTTGTATGTAGACACCATTTGAGGAAACAGCTCAGCTATGATACCACTTTCAAGGCTTAAAAACGCTCATAAGACTTTGTAGCATTTTGAGATGAGCTTTTTGGGGAAGGCACTGAAAGCTTGTTAAACCAACAGGACTGTACCCCAGCATGCATTAATTCCTCAGAAGCTAAGGTGGAAAAGGAACAAAATCCAGAAACCAAAACCTCTGTGCTGATTTAGGTAAGATTATGAGAGTAATATTCAGGCAACAAGATTTTGAAGGCAGGTTTCTCAACAGGACATTTTAACGTCAATTTTGCGTACATTCGTCTTTGCATCAAGGTGGAAGGGACCATTTCCTACTGCTATCACTTTGCTATGCACATCCAAATCAGTTACATGGTGCAAGACATCAGAATATTAATCAATTATACCGTCTTTAGACTCTGATATCAGTTCAACTTAGAAGCAGCTAGCCTTCTCATGAGATTGTGTTGAATGAAAATGCTCCATTTAAATAAGATACTTCCTAGATAAAACTGCCCATTTTGCAGGTCTACCTATTTATCTACCTTGAGAAGTATTGAGCTGCACTTAAAACTGCCTGAGTAGGAGAGTCTGGTGATTAGCATATTTTTGATCCTCATCCATGGTGAAGGATACCAAAGTGATGTTTAGATTTCCCAATGGACTGGTCCTTTCATAACGTTTTCATGTCAAAGGAGAAGTACCAAAGAAAGAAAGGAAGAAAAGCAGCATGAAGGATGGACAACATCAACCCACACAATGTGCACATAAGCATTGAAGATATATCACCACATTCATGATAATCTACAGCACCAAGGAACTAAACAGCTCTGTCTGTGCTCGTCAAATTCAGCACCATTGTTAACTGTTGTACTGCGGTGACTGTCAATGATATTATTTTTTATTAAGTTTAGAGACCCAGAATTACAATTGACACAAAATTCAAAACGTTTATTGATACATTTAAACAAAATAGTTTCAATTTAATCCTACCACTAGCCCTCAGCTGGTCAACCTGAGATGACTCTCTATATTACTTAGAAGTGAGATCTTCCTGCTTGATTCACCAGCACTCTTCCCACCAATTTGTTTCCTCTGTTTCCTTTATTGTGTTGTCCTGTGTGGAACTTTTTCCAAGGGTTTACATGCAGAGTACACTTTTTTAACGTAGTTTTCGAATCTGCTTTAGTCAATTTATACCTCTACTTCAGCTTGATCTGTTTATATTTAAGCCCTTTGTTTCAGAATTAACTAAATCATGTTCAAACGCATTGTAAAATTCTGTTATATTATAATCCCTCCTCACTAATGGTTCTTCCTGTAAGGCCTTTCTATCTGCACAGTACCAACTTCAAAATAACTTCTCCCCTGATTTTTTTTTTAACCTCCTCTCTATCCAAACTGACACCAGTTACCAGTTCAGAGATAAGAGTTCTTCTTTCTCGTGCATTTATACCATCTTTTATTATCAGGGCTACTCTCCATTTCTACTTTGTTTATCTCTGAAGAATGTTTTTCCCAACCTTGGTCACTTTGCAATCATACCTCTGGAAGAGCTATTCAATTCCATCAGTGCTCAATCAAGAAAGATACTTCAGTAAAATAGTTCTTTCTATTTAGAATAAAAATAAGTTTTATTAAAATTCTCTTTGTGGAATTGTAAAACTGTTTGCAATCTCTGTCGATTTTTATAAACTTCGGCAAAAGGATCCTCTCCCCATAAGGTTCAATCCTGTGTTTCACTGGTGTTGTGTTCCTGGTTCCCCATTCAATATGGTATTGGGGCTGACCCTAAATTCCAGAAGGGTCAGCAGCTCAACTCACCAATTGTCAAAGTCCTGCCGTTCTGATATTTCTGCAGTGTACATATAACATGCATTTTCAGGCCACATTCTTTTAATGTAGAGTCTATCTCATAAGCGATAGATGTTACATAATATAATTCAATTTCCCTTCTTGTATCTACTGCCACAAATAAGTAATTATCTCTGTAAATACCACATAGTACCAGTCCCGTAGTTCACCTCAGTAATAAGACAGGTCATGCTCAATGAATTCATATTGTGAGCATAGATATGTTCTGTACTTAAACACATCAGTCTGTGTTTAAATATCAATTATGGTGCTCTGTAGGTCAATGCAATTTGAATAATTTTTACAATTGTCAGTACAGTCACGGAAACAGCTTTGCAATTAATTTTTTTAAAAAAATAGCCTTGATTCTAAGCAACCCAGTAAGAATTCCCACAATAGTTTTCAGTTAATGAAGTGTTCTTATGTTTCAAAGCCTGGAAAAGATTGTTCATGAATTTTAAATGATAGAACGCAAGATATTTTTAAATGCAGCGGAAAAGCTACACAAAGTATAGCAAGATATCGCAATTTGCAAATTATAAGCATTGATATTTATACATACTTTTCACTTTGGGGGTGGGCATCACTGGCTACGTAAATATTTATTGCCTTTCCTTAATTGCCCTTGAAAAGGTAGCAGTGAGCTGCTTTCTTGAACAAATTCAGTCCATGAGTGGTAGGTAATGATAAGATTCAGAAACAGACAGCTGAACCAAATCAGCCTTTACCTCTGTATTTGCAAAAGAGTAAAATTAAACCTTCAATGGCCCTCAAAATTGGGCCCAACGGTTCCTAACAAGACTTTTGAAAAATTATTCCCAGACTCTGTGAATAATCAGGTCCAGATATCAAAATATAGCGATTCATTAAAAATAAATTAACTTTAGCAGAGTAATATTAAACAACAAAGTTAACCTGATTGGTCTATGCTATAAACTCAAAATGCCTTTATTTTCAGCCTCATTCAAAGTCAGACAAACAAACAAACATAGTTGAAAGATAAATAAAAGAAAAAAACTTACCAGATTATTTAAGTGACTTTCATGATGTGTTGTTCCACAAATATAGATGATGGTTTCTTGTTAATTTTTTGAAAATGTCGATCAGGGTAACCTTTACAGTTCAATCAGATACAGGCAGTAATACTTACAACTCAGTTTTCTTTTCGGTGATCTTCCAAGAGCTGCTCTTGGGCGTTTAGGCAGGGAGCTTTCAAATCTTCATGCTGTAACATCAACATCCAGATTCCTTATCCCCAGGAAAAAGAGTCTAAACCCCAATTCAAACCCTGACCATTCCCTGATAGACTCACCATCTCTTCCACAAGGTCCCACTTACCATCATCATCTGCCACCTGCTTGAGCATAAGGTCTCTGCCAGGGCACTGACTTTGTTAATAGCCAACTTCTGTTACCTATTTAAACATAAAGCTCTTCCAAGAGATGATGCATCAGTAAAACCTTGATCAGGAACCAACTTGCAACTAATGTCCATGCCTGGAATACCATGTATAAACAAAAGATTATTTTGTCTGTTTTCCTTTTAACACAAGCTGTTACCAGTACATAAGTTATCTTTAGCTCGCAGTTCACAGCTCCAAACAAAAATTGATAAAAGAATAAAATAAAAATATTGAAAAATCAGTGAAGGTTCTAATAGTAGACTCATTGTGCCATTAGGGAGGGAGCACCAGGATTTTGACCCAGCCAAGTGATGTAGTTTCATGTCAAGATAGTGTGTAGTTTGGAGGGACTTGCAATGGTAATATTCCCATGCATCTGCTGCTCTTGCCCTTCCAGTTGGTAGAGGTCATAAGTTTAGGAAGTGCTATAAAAGGAAGATTGTACTGATGAAATGTTAACTTTGCTTCTCTCTGCAGTTGCTGCCTGATCTGCTGAGCATGTATAACATTTTGTTGTTTTGATCTCACTTCTGACTTTTCAGTGTTGTGATGGTCATTGCTGAAGCAACTGAAAAGGAATGGCCTTAGGACACTACCCTGAAGAATTCTTATGGTGATATTCACTAGTAAGATAAAAGAAAAAAAATGAACATTTTATAATTTAGTGAAACCTCTGATGCTTCATGGAATTAAAAGGGAAATTCTCATGATGTAAAAATATATATTTTATTGTTAACATAAGCTCTAATGATCAATAGAAGATAGTGGCGAGAACAATGAAGATAAACATGGATTAATTTTAGTCAAAGGATGAAAAAAGTTGCTAACTTAGTGTGCTGATAAATACATTTCTTTAAAAATTAATATTTATTGGACAGTTTTGGTCCTAATTATTGGTTACCCTGCCTTTTCCCCATGCTGTGCATTCCAGTTCCTAATCACTCACTGCATGAGAAAACTTTTCCTCACAAAGCCTTTGGTTCTTTTTCCTATTACCTTAAATCGGGTGTCCACTTGTTCTTCAACTTACCCCAAATGAGAACAAATCAGTACTGGCTTTTATATCAGACTTATTTATCTCTGTTTGTGCTATTAATTCATCTACTTAGTCACAAATGTTTTGTGCACTCAGATAAAGCACCTTTAATTTTAACCTTTTAACCTTTTTTACGATTCAATTTGCTTCACTAAAGTTCCATTACAATTAAATTCAATGCACTAAAAATTTCATATTCCTCCTTTGAGGCGGTGATGGCTCAGTGGGATTATCGCTGGATTGTTATTCCAGAGACCCAGATAATGTTCTGGGGACCTGGGTTCCAAATCGCCACGGCAGATGGCAAAATTTGAATTCAAATAAAAAAAATCTGGAATTAAGAGTCTCATGATGACCAGGAATCCATTGCCAATTATTGGAAAAACCCATCTGGTTCACACAAGTCTCTTAGGTGAGGAAACAGCCATCCTTACCTGACCTGGTCTAGAGACTCCAGACCCACAGCAACGTGGTTGACTCTTGACAGCTCTCTGGCAAATTAGGGATGGGCAATAAATGCTGGCCTAGCCCTATTCATCCCATAAATGAATAAGGAAAACTTTGTGCTACCATTTACATGAGATGTGCCCAGTGAAAATGAAACAGGAAATGCTGAGGAAATAGCTGAAACTTGTTGGGTCTCCAACGAAGCCATCAGGAGAGCCAGTGTGCGGTGGGAGGAAGAGTAGTGTGCAAAGGGCAATGCCAAATGTTGGCAGTAAGGCATAGAAGGTGTCAGGAATGGAGAGCACGTAATCAGGGACGGAAGAGAAAGACGCTGGAAGAGGAAGTCTTAGCAGCTGGATTATGGGATGAACTGCATCCTGATAGTAAACCTCAGAAACAGTGGGGAGACCTGCTATACGACCAATTCACCCAGGCCTCTTGGCTCCTTCAGGAGATACATCTCAATGGAAGAAAAGTCCTGACACTGGCTGGGGTTACGTGGGGGTTAGTGGGGAATCATTGTTAACTTGGTGACCAGCTTGATGGTCAGTCTCAGGGTTGGAAGGGCATGCCAATACTCACATATGTGTAGAAAAGTCTTTTCCCAGAAACACTGTACTGCAGGAGGCTGAACTTCCCCCAAATATCTGAGTGACAGATTCAATCAAGAAACTGCACCTCTACAGTGAGGTAGCAACTGACCTCTGCATGATGTTGCAAGAAAAGTTAAGAATTGGAATTGGCGGACACCAAATGCCCAGTGGTGCCATAGATCATTGTGGCTCTCAATGTCTACACCTCAGGCTCTTTTTGGATGCATGTGGTATCTGCCAATCTGAAGACCAGTCAGTGCAATAGGAAGGTAAGCAATGCTGCATTGAAGAGGAACAGCAACTGTGTGCAATACCACATTGATTGTGACAGTCAAATGGAGATGTCAGTTGGCTTCAGAGTGGTCGCTGAGTCCACAGATTCAGGGTGTCATTTGCTACACACTTGGTGATCAAGGTTCCAACAGAGCAGCTGGTGGCTTTTCGTGACAGGAGGGATTTATATTCTATTAAAATCCACCTGGGCTGAGACCACTGAGAAAGATCCTTCAGGTGTGTGCAAGGTACCTGCAAAGCAGCCACGATACTCACATGCTTTGGCAGTTCTGAGTGCCACAGCTTTTGCACCTCCACTGTGCACTTTCAGGAATGATAGTGTGACAAGACTATCCACTAACAAACCTGACCACTTGCACCCAAGAGGAAACCTTGCACAGATACAGAGGAGAGGTACAACACTTGCCAAGTGACAGCTTCAGCAGGCCATGAGTCAGTAAGGAGTATGATAAATGTGAGGGAAATTTTGCCTGAATGAGACAGTGGGAATATCTGGGAATTTAGTTCAACATGGGAATTCAACTGGAGGATCTTTTTCAAGTTCAATTTTAGGGTAAAAATCAAATTCAGACCTGAAAGTAATAGTTTTTAAGTAAGTTCAAATAGCCTAATTAAAAAAGCAGCAGCCTGTTAGTGACAGTTATCAATCAAACACCTGAAATCCCTTGCTTAAATCAGGTTTGTTTGCTCTCTAACTTAAAATAAACTCACACCAGGTTCACCAATAAACAAACAAACAAAACATTTTTATTATAACAACCTGATCCTTTCACAAATGGCAAAATGGATTTTTAATTAATATGCAAATTTAAACTATACCCCCTTGAAATCACAACACACATGCACATTAATTCATAAAAAGGGTAGAGAAAACAGACAACTGCCTGCATCAATATCACAACGCAAGGAATACATTTCATGCTGAAGTATCCAAATCAGAAGGGAGGTAAGAGGTGATTTTTACACAGTTCTTTTAGTTTCTGGCAAATGAGATCATGTTGTTGTCAACCACTGCAATCTCCAACTTGCTTGTCTGCCAGTTGGACCTAGGTCTTTGCTTGAATTAGAAGGGTATCCTTTCAGAATATTGGTGCTGATTTTTTTTTTCATTTATAGAGGGAGAGAGAAGGGTGGGGTCTGAGTGAAATCACTGCGGGGCTGTCATAGCAAGAATCAGAAAACTTTTACAGCACTGAAAGAGAGTCTTTGTCCCATTATATCTGTGCAAACATCCAACAATCATCTATTCACTTATCAAGGGAGAGAGTGGGGTGGGGTATGAGTGCGACTGCAACTTAAAATAAATCCAAAAGCTATTGCTGGGCGGTAGTCTTTTTCAATTCAAAGGGACCTACTGCCAGCTAGTCTCACGAAAGTGTAATTCCAGTTTCTCCAAAAGTTAAATGATCTTATGTAACTGATAATTAAACACTACACAGTGCCATGCTTAAATACTGCTGCTAAAAATAAATTAATAAATGACCTGTATCCAAATTTCCATTTTCCCAATTCTCATTTAATAAAAATATGCAGTCATAGAGAGTCATAAAGCTTTCATAGCACAGAAAGAGGCTTGTTGTCCCATTGTATCTGTGCAAACATCCATCAAACAACCATCTATTCTAATCCCATGTTCTAGCACTTGGCATATAGCATTGTATGCAATGGAGTTTCAAGTATTCATCTGAATAGTTCTTAAATGTGCGTAATGTCTTTAGGTAGTGAGTTCCAGTTATCCACAAGCCTCTAAGTAAACAAAAATCCTCAAATTCTCTTTAAATCTTTTGAGCCTTAGCATAAAACTGCACCAACTTGTCATTGACCCCTCTACTAAGGGAAAAAGTTTCTCCTTATCTACCCTGAGTATGTCCCTCAGAACTTTGTACAGCTCAATCAGAACGCCCTCTCAACCTTTTTGGGTCTAAGGAAAATAACAGCAGCCTATTTAGTCTCTTTTCACAGCTAAACACTGCAGCCCCAAACAATATCCTGGTGAATCTCTTCTGCACCTTTTTTTTAGTGCAATCACATCCTTCCTATGGTTAGAGACAAAAAAACTGCAAATGCTGGAATCCAGATAGACAAACAGGAGGCTCGAAGATCACAGCAAGCCAGGCAGCATTTGGAGGAAAGGAGCAGTCAATGCTTCAGGTATTACCTTTCTTCAGAACATCTTTCCTATAGTGTGGTGATCAGAACTGTACATAGTACTCCAGATGAGGCCTACAATTATAAATAGTCGGTACAGTATGTTGAGCTGGACTTGTGCCAGCTGGGTTTAGGGCAATTCAGTATTACGAATATGGCTTCCAAACTGGTGCTAGATAGCTGATTTAAATATTCAAGAGCCTAATGCCTTTTTTCAGATGTGGCTCCTAAATCCCAAACGCTCTGCCAATTTAGACCATAGCACATCTCTGTCTCACAATGTATGTATGCTTCTTGCCTGAAGTTGTGGATCATCACACAATTAGAGCCACTCATTTTTTTTGGCCTGTGTTTTTTCAAAGAATCTTTGAACTGATGATATGTTACCTTAGTCTGTTGATCAGTATTTCCCATTTTTGATGGTCACAAAGGCTCAAAATCGAACTTCCTAATAATGCTGCTCTGGTCTTTCATTTACAATAACCCAAATGCAGTAGAAATGTACCAATAACCTCTCTAAAACGAAC